TTTTAAGAGACAGTTTCCTCTGAATATCAAGTTGTTTCCCTCACCCCCCAGTACCCAAGCAGAGCCAAGTTGTGTGCTGACCAGCAGCACATGGTCCAGATGATTTCACCTAATCCTCACTTTTTTACCAACTAGCCTGTCTACACTAAAAAAAAAAAACAAACCCACAAACAAAGCCTATGTTTTTTCTAAGAAACTGATGCTGTACACGGGTGGCATTAAACAGGCCAAGACACTGCTTGTCTCCAACTTCCTATTTACAGAAAATAGGTCAACCAGATCATTTCTACAAAGATCACCTGAAATCTAAGGTCAAAAACTTCCAGCAGTTAAGAAGAAATAGGTACTACTCGCTATAATATTGTGCCAAAAAAAAAAAAGCAAGACTGTAAAAAACCAAACCAACTTGTAATTCCATAGCTCTGGCCTTTAGTTGCTCAGCAGTTAAATTGCTAACAGGAGCTTTAGCAATTTGTCAAAAGTCTTAACTAGCTGGAGGGGCCCTTTTCATGCCACATCTCTTCATGTTCTTCCAAAGGGTGTTCTTCCGAAGATCATCTGCTGCTGCCCCCCTACCCCAACCCCTTTGTCCAACCAAATAAGCTGAAGTGCTATTTCACTGGTTTAGGATTAACAGGTGGTGAGTTCTCTTTATACTTCTAATTTGCTGGCTGTAGCACCCAGCCCCATTTAGCAGGTAACAAGCAGTAGTACACACTACGTAACAGCAGAGCTTTGTGCTTTTGTTGATAGGATGAGTTAAGAACATAAACCTTAGATCCAGCTCTCAACCATGTCTTAGCCTCGCCATGAGGAGAGGTGTGAGAACACTTCACTCTGTCTTTCCAAGCAACATACACACATGGTATTGATTCTGATATATTGATTGAAATATTATATTGATTGAAAATTTGGTTTAGACTTCCTTCAGTAGGAAAGGAATGTATAAAGGAACATACAAAATTACTCAAAAGGAGAAAGTCTATAGATGTTATTGTGCAATAGCACACTTCTGTGTTAACATTGAGCTCTAAACAGTGTCTGGGTGGTGATGCTTTGTCTATCCTGGTCTGATAGATCTGCCCATGAAATCTTTCACACCATACCCCTGATTGAAGCCAGATGCACAGTATACAGGGGAAGGGGAGGAATGATGACCACGCAGGAAGGACAACCACTACCACCCAAAAGCAGCCTAAGAGTTTAAGAAAACTCCAGATTTCACTCAAAAGTTGTTTATGATGCTAAGAACAATACCTAACTGTAAGAAACCATACTGAAGACAAAAATAAAGATTTTTGTTATTTAAGACTGATGGAGCAAGTTACATACAGCAGCATCCCTTTCTTACAGATAAGGGCCAAAAACTTACACAGAAATATCAGACCAAAGCAGAAAGCTACCTTCCGAAAGTAAAGCCTCAACAACCAGCATTTACCCTCTGTTTAGTATGTTTGTAGCAGTGGAGTTTTACAGCTTGTCACTTACCAAATTACACCCGGGCTTGTTAGTCAGCAGCATCTTTCCTTAATAAACAAAGACTTCACTGAGTTGAAATGCAGAAATATTTATTTTGGTTTCCTTCATTGGTTTTGAAAATTGTTTTGGTTTTATAAAACATAGAAATAGCCAACACTAAGCAAACATTTGAATCCCAATGTAACAAACTACGGCTCTAACAGTTGACTTGGATTTGTGTACCTTAATTGCACACATGTATGAAATTATGCTACAGAGTAGTGCATTACAATCACACACAAAAATCTTAGTGCAAACCTTGTTGTGCTTGTATTTTACATATATCCATGTTTTCAAAAAACAGCAATGAATGCTAATGCAAAACCAACTCTGTTAAGGATAGCAAGAGACTTATGCTGTAATAAGGCTTATTTCTGCTGATTTCTCAAAGAAAGAGTAACTAGTTATTTTGTAATTTATCTGCGAATTAGGTTTTTATCCCTGAACAAATACCTATCCTGTGCCAACAGACAGTTCTGTTGGCATATATAAATACTTCCAATTGCTGCAAAGCATCAGGCAAAAAACATTGTACCTGACCTATTTTGCTATTCAGTGAAGAGTACTCAGTGGCTCATACATAAAGCACAGAAAACTGAGAGGTTATGTCAGAAGCTCTTCTGCTTACAGAGGACCCAGCACATTTTTTTAAAAAAAAAAAAAGGCATTTTAAATTTAAATACATGTTCATTACAGGGAAACATGTGGCTAGTACAGGTGCAATGTTTACCTGACTGTTAGCATAGTCCACCCTCCTGAATGGTTTTGTTTTTAGGTCTCTAGTGTTCTTGCCAGAGTTAGGATCTGTTCATTTACAGGGCTGGCACCACTCTGGAATTGTGTTAATGTAGCAAAGGCTACACTTCCTGAATTAACTGCATCCACACTTTCAGTGCAGAACCACCATATGCAGTCTTACTCCGAGGAACTTGTATTCATCGGTCTCCTTTGTGTGGAGTTCTGACTTCTACCTTATTAAAAGTACATCTCAGAACTGGCAGCAGATATAGAAGGGAGAAAAACCACACTCTGATGCCTTGCCCCAGTTAATATTAGGACTAATGCAAGATGTCATACCAGCTATACAACTGTAAAGGTTTGGGGTTTTTTTTGGTGGTTGGGTTTTTATTTTCTGAACAGATTTAGGTAATCCTTCTAAGGATGCAAGATAAAGGCATTTTCAGACCTGCCAAATCCCTTCTGGAATTGACAGCTGCAAAATACACTGCAGACAGCGAACATGCTGGCAATAAGAAAACCTTAGCTCCCTGGTGAAGAAGAGTCCCATTTTTGGCCAAGGAAGTCTTAAATAACTTACGTATAGTTACCATTTATAGTTAAGGCTCTTTTTGGAAATTGTAGGTCACCATAAAAACAGTATGCAACACAACTTGACAGTAAGGCAGTGTTCCATTTCTTCAATGTTCCTATGGCAAGTACCCATTTTTGTACATGTTAATGATTGCACAGTTTCCTTCCCTATGTTTGCTGTAGTCAAATTACAGATACGAAGGCCAACAGTAGACATCAGACGTGTGCCACTTTCCTCACTCCATTCTCAGTTACATTTTGGCATTAGCATAGAGTTCATCTATCTGTGACTGGAAATATTTTCGCAGTTCCGGTCTCTTCGCCTTCAGTGTTGGTGTCAGCAGGCCGTTTTCAATAGAAAACATTTCAGTGTGCATGACAATGTCTTTGACCTGGAAAGTAAACAGTTACTAGCCAAGCTGCATTCCTGGACAGTCAGGTTATATTGGTGTTGAGAAGTTTAAAGAACTAGGTGTTTGGTTCTCACAAACATCTTACCTGTTCAAATGACTTCAAACCAGATTCTTTCCCAATCCTCACCATGTCTTCCAGAATGTGTTTTTTGAGGTCCTGTGGATACAGGAATACATTGTGTAGCATGAAAAAGTTGATGCAGAACAGCTAACTGTTTAGTTAACTAAGTCTCACCTTGTTTTTGCATAGCTCTTCATATGAGCCTTCAAATCCCTTTTTCTTGGCCCAGCTGCGCAACGTCTCAGGATCAGGTACCACAATAGCTACTAAGAAGGCCTAAAAAGGAATTTTAAAAGGAAAAAAAGCTTAACAAAAAGTCAACACTTTAGTTCCTACACATTTCTTACTAGTCAGTGTTAGGTTTTGGACAGCATTTCTGATCCTGCTGTAAAGTCAGCAGCTTTCTCCTACTTGAACACAGCAGTGCAGTTCAGAAGCTTGCACTTAAGAGAATTACTCTTGTTAAGACCCACATTCCAATTCACACTTGCAAAAACCTGGACATCTTGTAGGTTTTATTTATTTTCCTTGCACACTGTTAGCAACTTGTATACAGTCATTAATACTCAATTAAATTAATCCAGCTCTACCACCTGCTCTGAAACTAAATCTAGAAACATGCTATATAACTGCTGGTGTCAAAAATTCATTCAGAAGCAAAGTTTGTAATGTTAAAAAATTTTTAAAATTTCAGTCGCAAAGTTTGGGGTGGGGGCAGGAAGGAAAGGAAGATTTTTCTGCAGTCTCCTCTTGCATTCATTTTTAAAATTACCTGAAGAATGCTTACCTGCAAGCTCTCTCCATGGACAAACACCTGAGCAAGTGCTTCAGATCTCAGATACACATTTTCTATTTTCTCTGGTGCTATGTACTCTCCCTGGGCTAGTTTAAATATGTGTTTTTTCCGGTCAATGATCTTCAATGTACCATTCTGTTGACAGAAATAACTTCCACTCAGAAGAGGCACTTCAAGTGAAAAACCAATCTACACAGCTTAAGCATGCCACACTAGTACAGTAAAACAGTGCTAGAGCCAGAGTACTGTCAGACTAACGGTAGAAGAAAACAGGCTCTGCATCCATCTAACCTAAACTAGGGAAAGCCTCAGCATTGGCACTGCTAACAGTTTAGCCTCAGGCACACAGATTTATCTACAACAGTAATTATCCTCCTCAAATTACTTGTCTGTCACATAATTCATGTGCTCAATGCCAAATATTTTCTATTTTATTTGTTAAAGTACTGCTAATAACTACAGAAGTACATTTCAGCTGTGTCAGTTAACTTACTGGTAGCCATTTCCCGATATCTCCTGTATGAAGCCAGCCATCTTTGTCCAGAGCTTCTGCTGTTTTTTCTGGATCTTTCAAATAGCCACAAAATACATTTGGCCCTTTTACGCACACCTGAAAACAGCCATTTGTTAATATATGCTGCTATGAAGGGAAGTTAGCAAACGCTATTTGCAATGAATGCTTTCTCCAATGGTTCTCAATAACCCCCACTAAAAATCAAGATGAAGTTTATGCATTTGTACAGAAATCTCTACTCATGGTTTTGGAGTTTGACATTTAACATTTTCCATTGGTATAAAGTACAATAAAAGAAGCAATTAGAAGCATCTGTTCTCTTCTAGTCTAGCAGCACTATTCCTACCTGCTATGTGAACAATCTGAATTTAATCAGAGGAAATTTGTCTTCAGATAAATAAAAACACTCTGCTGGATCTACAAATATTACCCCTCAGCAGCCTGGCAACATGTTCATTTCAGCTTTGGTAAGCAGCAGGGGCATTGTGCTAAAACTAGTGATGAGAGTGCTGTGTATCAAGCAAATTACATGTTTGTTATCCAGAAATACACCAGTTAATACCTTAGGTCTTAGGGAACTCAAGACTTCTCTATAAAGGAAACTTGCCATTTCTTTAAATTGAAGATTGTCTGGATTTGTGTGCCAAGTAGAAAACCAAGACAACTTCTCTGGATATAACTGGATGCGTGGGCATTATGAGGATCAAAAAATGTGCTTACAAGGTATGGGCAAAGGACCAACAAGAATAAAGGTTTATAGGTGAAGAGGTTGCCAGAGAATCAGGTCAGACCTTACAAGCTAAATTAAAACAATTAGTAGAGTATCTGTCAGTAAGAAAACATAAAAGTAAAGCAACTAGTCAGGAACATAAAGTAGAGCCTGAAGTATCCAGAGATGATCTCAGATATAATTATTTTCTTTTCAATGTAAGATGCAAGGTTGTGTAAGTTTTCTTTGGTGGAGAGAGGGGGGACACAGGATAGGACTCTTGTTACTTAATGATCAGCAGGACTATAAAATAACTCCTTAGAAATGAGGACAGAGAGATAGGCAAGATAAATAAGACTGAAGCAAAACTTAAAGATGCCCATTGCACACAACTGTTAGGGAATCAGAAGTTCAAAAGCACTGAAAGCGCTACACAAGAGTCCTCAGAACCAACAAAGGATTTAAACCATCACACCAGCTTGGGAGTGGCTTGGCATTCACGGATGACAGCAGACAGTAAGAAGGGTCTAGTCAGGCAATAGTATCAAGACTCTAGAACAAGTCTAGAGGAATGGGATAGAAAATCCAGTTTTAAGTTAAGGCTAAATGGATAATAACTATCAATAGGGTCTGATAAAAATACTAGGCCAACTAATAGTCTAGGGAATTAGAACAATTATAAAATGGGCAAGGAACTGGCTAAAGAATCTTCAGGTACTAATACCAATTCACAGACTAGAAGAAATCATAATGTAGTTCAGAGACCAGTACTTGAAAAACTCATCCGAAGTATTTTCAGTGCTTACCTCAGCATAAATACAGGCATGCTGGTGAACTACAGTATGATGAACATGGGATGTTATCAATAGGAGTGAGATCAGAGTACTAGTGAGGGTTCTGATGACCTTGTAGAGACAGCACCAAGCTTGTGACCAAACCAAGGTCATGTTTTAAGAACCAAGTCATTTCTGCTATAAGACAGAGCTTATCTGGAAGGATATGACTATAGGAGAACTCTATGTCCCAGTCAAGTCCAAGGCTGTCTGATCAAACGTTTCATTTTTCATGAGTCCTACAATCACAGGTGACAGCTTTTCCCAGCAGAGACAGCACACCATTTATCTGTATCCTGCTAACTGGCACTAAGACCTCATCTGCATATGAGCACATGTAAGTATTCACAAATTAATCCTTCTGGAACATGGATAGCCTGCAAAAGTGAAAAGCAAGGCTGAGAGAACAGAAAATATTGAAAGCTTCCTCTCAGAAAGGAGGACTAGGAGCGTTTAAATCCAGCTGAAGAGCAGACAGTGAGGAGGAAGATCTATTTTAGGCAAAGAATAATGAAAGCCAATTCTACAGCTGTGGGCTTCAGTTCTGTGAAACAAGTTACAACACTTATTTGTTAAATTCAGAATAGTTCACAAGTTAGGACTGAAAGACTAAGATGGTACGTGATATATTAAGGAGCTACAATATTTATTCAAGTCCAAAATAACTCCTAACGCAGCAAGCTTTCACAGTAAGTGCAAGCAAAACATTTTTAGACTTTTTAAAAACTACTTAACTGTTTCTCATTACGAGAATTTATACTCAGTTCCTCTAGCAGACCAAGCTTTAAAAGCTTAAAGTGAAGCACAAATTGCTGGTGAAGACTAAACATGGGGTCATATGCAAGACAGGAAAGAATCTTGACATTGCTCTCCACTTGCGAACAGTTTCCTACCACCAAGCCCAACTATATCCTTATGGATTTCTGGGAATTAAAGCCCAATGATTTGTCTCTAGTCTCATACAAATTACAACCAAAACAAATAAAGTTTATTTATTGTTTGCAGTCACAAATTAGTTGCTTGCTTGAAGTAGTTTTTATTTATCCATTTCTCGCCCCCCAACTGCCCCCAAGGCGTCTTGAAAGCATATGAAAGACACCATAGTTAATTTGCTTTCAGGGCTTCGGGAAAATAAATTACTACACAGACATTGGTCAAAGTACATACATAAAGTTCAAGCTGTATGTATTTTACTTGAAAAAAAAAATTGAAAAAGACAGTGCATAGCATCACATACAAAAATGAGTCCTCAAAGTGCAATTTGTAAAGTACATAAATACATACAGCTTGAACTTTATGTTACTTGAAAAAAAAATTGAAAAAGACAGTGCATAGCATCACATACAAAAATGAGTCCTCAAAGTGCAATTTGTAAATCATACATGCTCAATTTGTGCAGGCTGCAGAAAAAAGTTCAGAAGAATGTGCAGGCAGTTCTCACAAGTCATTAGCAGCCTTCATGGCATTTTATCTCTATTTCTCTTAATGGCTTTCCAGCCACTTTAAGTTACCTCATCTCACACATCCCAAGCTGGGTAACAAGCTACATGCATCAGCTGTTCTCCAGCACTTGACAGTGGGTGTGGGGGGGCAAGCCCTCTGCTAGCATTTTACTGAAGGATAAATGCAGTAGGAGCTAGCTAGCTTCTCAGCTACCCCACAGCTGGAAGATGGCATGTTGGTTGTACAGCCATAAATACATACTAATCTGTTATCTCACAGTAAGCTGCTTTTTCTCCCCTCCAATATGCTCTTTTCTGTTTTGCTTCTGTGAATTGTTAGCTGACACTGCACACAGGCAAGGCAAGTGTCTTTGAGTTTAGGTAGGCAGGCCACGTTTAGCACGTTAGCTGACACTGCACGCAGGCAAGGCAAGTGTCTGAGTTTAGGTAGGCAGGCCACGTTTAGCACTTTTACTAAACTCAGACAGTTAGTTGTTGTTTCAGGAACAAAAAACCAAACATTTTTCAAGACTTCATAAGAGGCTTATATTGACCTTTTTGCAATTACTTACCTCACCCTCTCCTTTGGCAGCCAAGTAATTCATTTCTTGTACATCAACAAGCTTTACGATATTGCATGGCATGGGTGATCCAACATGGCCTGTTAAATGAAGTAACACTTCAATAGCCTGAACTACTTTTTAGTCAGGTTCTTAAAACAATAATCTGGTTACATGCCAAAGTAAAAAACACAGAAAATCGACTTTTGGTAATGTACTACACCAACACCAGCACAGCAATAGCTTAAATTTGCTGGGACTGAAACATTAAATTCTCAGATATCCCTAGAATGTTACAAGCTGAACCATGGTAGCCGGTCAGGGCTCAGTTTTGGGGCCAGTTCTGTTTAACATCTTCATTGATGATTTGGACGAGGGGATTGGGTGCACCCTCAGTCAGTTTGCAGACGACACCAAGCTGGATGGGAGTGTTGATCTGCTTGAGGGTAGGAAGGCTCTACAGAGGGATCTGGACAGGCTGGATTGATGGGCCAAGGCCAACTGTATGAGGTTTAACAAGGTCCTGCACTTGGGTCACAACAACCCCATGCAATGCTAC